GACTCACCAAGGCCGACTTCTCACGGGACAACTTTCTGTGAGACAAGAGTTATACTAATATCAAAAGAAATGGTGGAATAAACTAATTAAGGAAAGGATGCAAAAGGAGGGACAAAATGAAATGTGAATGACAAAAACTAAAAATTTTTTTTCATTTTTTTTAAATAATGAAATTGAATTGTTAAATTGTACCACAGAGAGTTGTCCTGTGGCGAGTTGGCCATCATGAGTTGTCCCATGGGAAGTTGACCACGACGAGTTGGCCACAGCGATTTGTCCCATTCCGCTCCGAAACGGCATGTCCAAAGGGATCCGGATGGCACCCTCTTTTCTGGAGTTCCAGAAAGCTCTAAAAATCTGGGTTGGGTTGATGTACTCTTGTTTGTCTAGGATTTTGTTTGACTTTTAATGTCTGTAAGATTATTTCAGTCTGAGCTGTCTGTTTGGTTTCATGTTTTTATCTATTTTTATGGGGGTTTTTTCTAGTTTTCTACGCTCTCCAGAGTTCATTGGAGTTGGACTAATACATTTGAATAAATAAATAAAAAGTAAAATATATATCACTTAAAAGGCAAATTCCATACCTAGAATTATCAGGAAAAGGTCTGAAAATAAAACTGTCAGTATCCTGATACATCTGTATCAAAACAACAACAGCAGCAACACCCAAAGGTTAAAATACTACGTGCTATTGTGCTTATCACACATTCGGTAAAAGTCACTATAGGAAAAGAATAATTGCAACACCTCCAATGAAATAATGAAAGGCCTGTAGCAAGTCCCTTAATTGGGCAGATCCCAATGCAGTTGAGAAGTAAATGATTCTAAACTTGATGAGTATTGTGTATGAGGAAATCTGTTTATTAACATGTTGAATGTCACACCAACAGAGAGTGATGTTGTGAAAAGATGGAGTCACTGCTCCCTGCCCTTCAAGGTCTTTGGCCTGGAGAAGTATCATTTGGGGCTCTTGGTATTTAGAATTGTTTTGTAATTACAGGCATCCTGAATATTATCAGGTGTAGATACCATTCTTTGGATATCCAAAGCACCTGCACAACTCTGACATTTATCCATTCAGAATCACCAGGGCAACATAGAAGGCATCTCTATGTGCACGTTGCAGGAGTTGGTACAACTTGGATATTTCTGAGGGATGCTGAACAATTTAAACAAAATTCTAATATAAAACTTGGTATTCCCCCCTTGGTCAGTGGGGAATCATAGTCCAGGAAGCAAGTACCCTTGTTAGCAGATTGCAATATGAATAACTATTTAGATTGTGGATAACATCACCATGGTGTACAGGTTCAGATGTTACACCATATAAGATTTCCAAAACCCGGTTAAAATTGTTGTTGTTGTTAATTGCGAAGTCGTGTCCGACCCATCGCGACCCCATGGACAACGTTCCTCCAGGTCTTCCTGTCCTCTACCATCTTCTGGAGTCCATTTAAGTTCACACCTACTGCTTCAGTGACTCCATCCAGCCATCTCATTCTCTGTCGTCCCCTTCTTCTATTGCCCTCAATCTTTCCCAGCATTAGGCCCTTCTCCAGTGAGTCCTTCCTTCTCATTAGGTGGCCAAAGTATTTGAGTTTCAACTTCAGGATCTGGCCTTCTAAAGAGCAGTCGGGGTTGATCTCTTCTAGGACTGACCGGTTTGAACGCCTTGCAGTCCAAGGGACTCGCAGGAGTCTTCTCCAGCACCATAGTTCAAAGGCCTCAATTCTTTTGCGCTCAGCCTTTCTTATGGTCCAACTTTCACAGCCATACATTGCAACTGGGAAAACCATGGCCTGGACTATACGCACTTTTGTTGGCAGGGTGATGTCTCTGCTTTTTAGTATGCTGTCTAGATTTGCCATAGCTTTCCTCCCCAGGAGCAAGCGTCTTTTAATTTCTTGGCTGCAGTCCCCATCTGAGGTGATCTTGGAGCCCAGAAAAATAAAATCTGTCACTACCTCCATTTCTTCCCCATCTATTTGCCAGGAATTGAGAGGGCCGGATGCCATGATTTTGGTTTTCTTAATGTTGAGTTTCAAGCCAACCTTTGCACTCTCCTTCTTCACCCGCATCAAGAGGCTCTTTAGTTCCTCTTCACTTTCTGCCATTAGAGTGGTATCATCTGCATATCTTAGGTTGTTGATATTTCTCCCGGCAATCTTAATTCCAACTTTTGATTCATCTAGCCGGTTAAAATAGGGTCCATTTATTAATGCATTTACTCAGAAAAAAAATGAGGAAAATCCGTGGCAGTCAGTTAATGCAGGTAACCAGTTTTATGAAATTGTTCAAACTCCAATGATGATAGAAAAGCTAATATGGATATATTATTTTTTTAAAAAAATAGTTTGAAAATGGCTAATCTGAGTGTGAAAGCCAGATGGACTGAGCATCCACTTTGTATATTGATCATACAGGTTGTGTCATCAACAGTGAAAGCTTTGGAATTACAGGGATGGGAGGGAAATGAGAACATTATTCTCAGGATAATGCATGAAAATCTCCTTACAAACTTTTAGGTATTTGAAAAGTCACTCAAAGCTTTTAGTAGGGCAGGCTTCAGCTTCTTTAAAAGGAACATATTCCTCTCAGCTGTGCTGTGGAGCAGTGCTGGACTTGAAAAAGTCATTTGATGAGGAAAAATAAGAAGAGCATCTACAAAACCATGGCTAATGAAGTTTTTGCATGTTGTTAAAAGCTACAATAACTGTTTGGACAAGATGAATTCTAGCACACAGATAAGCCAGTTTTGAAAGGATTACAAAACTAAATAAAAATCAATGGAATGTACTTTATTGTTACATTCACTGAGCATAACTAACTGAGCTGTTTCAAAATGTACATAAAATGTATTGTGAAAGCTTAAAGGCCAGGGTAGTTATCTGAAACAAACTAAAAGCTTTTGGATATTCCTTATCTTTTGTCAGCATTTACCTAAAAGTCTGCATAAAGTTCTTTTCGTCTCTGGTTCCAGAGAGTCCTATGAATCCTTTAACTCTGCTGTTACCTTTCTTCCCTTTATTGGGACCATTTCCTTCATGTACACTCCTCCTTTCATGAAACATTTTGAAAACCAGTTTCAATATTATAAATCAGGCATGCCAAACTTGCGACATCATGTGACTTTGCGTGACGTATCGAGACTTTTCTCCCATTGCCGGCAATGGGGTGGGCACAGTTTCGATGTGACACATACGGCCTGTGGGCTGGCAGTTTGACATGCCTATTATATATGATACCCCTTCACCAGAGGTTCCCAAACCTTGGGCTGCAGCCTGTTTGGAATCAGGTCGCACAAGTCACGGGCGAGCACTCATGTGTGCGCAGCTCCATTTGTCTGAGCAGTGGGCACACGTCCCTGCCACTTGATCAAATGGAGCTGTGTGCACAAGTGCCTGCCACTTACACAGAAGCATCCCCTCCCCTCCTCCCCACTGGTTCACAAAGCCAGAAAGGTTGAGGACCCCTGCCCTAGATGGGTTATCATAGGTTGTCAATCTTCAGGAAACTGAAGATGATGATGATTGTTGTTGCTGTACCATAATTATTCTTTTTTGTTCTTAGTTCTACCTAGAATTAAGGTGAAATTTCCTGACAGTTAGAACAATTAATCAACCTGCCTCCAGAGGTTGTGAATGCTCCAACACTGGAAGTTTTTAACAAAAGACTGGACAGCCAATTGTCTAAAATGGTATAGGGTTTCCTACCTGAGCAGGGGGTGGGACTAGATGACCTCCTAGGTCCCTTCCAAAAACAACAACAGCAACAACATCATCATCATCACCACCACCACCACCATCATCCTCATTTCAAAAGCACAGAATAGGGCCAGGTTATGTGAGGAACCACCTCTCCCTACTATTTCTACCCATCCCATTAGGTCTGGCAGAAAACGTTCAGGTTTTCTCTTCTAAGAAACGCAATCTGGTTGGGTCCAGGAAGGGAACATTTTCTGTCATGGCCCCCACTCTGTGGAATACCATAGCCTGGAGATCAAATTGGTCCTGATTTTGGTAAGGCCTTACACACTCAGCTTTGCCACCAGGCCTGAAGGTCAGGAGGTGGGCCCAAGCCTGTGCATTGCTTATGTTTATTTGTAATTGAGGGGATTGTTTTTATCCCAGATGTTTTACGATTGTGAATTTTATTTGCCTGGCAGTCCTGGAACCCGCAAGGGCTGTGTGCACAGGAGGCAGCGAGCGTCAGCACCCTTGGTGAAGTCAGCCTCCGGGGCAAGATAGCCAGCAGGGACGCCGGACTCCATGTGCTCGCCACCTCCTGCACATGCACCCAGTGGGTGGGGCAGGGTGCCTGTCGCTGGTTCCAGGGCTGCCCTATGGATCTAAGATTGAGTGCATTCTGGCTTTGATGGCTGGCACCAAGTTGTAGATCAGCGCCCTGGGCCGAGCCAAAGTGCCGCAGGCCGGTCCTTCACTGTTTCCAGGGCAGCTCCGCGGGCCAGGCGCAACCATATTGCAGGCCAGATTTGGCCCACGGGCCTTGTGTTTGACATGCCTGCTATATGTCAAAGGCGCACTGAACTCTGTTACCTTCCCACCAAAGTGGTACTTATTAGTCTATTTGTATTTGCATGCTTTTGAACTGCTAGGTGTCTAGGAGCTGGGTCAGGAATGGGAGCACATTCTGTCACTTCCGTTCCTGCCCCAGCTCCTGCCCATCTAGTAGTTTGAAAGCATTCACCAAGGTCAAAACTGGTCTTCTGTGACTAAACCATTTGCAGTTGGACTACTGTTATTGTTGGAACATGCCTAGCATCACATTTTGTCAACAGATTAAAATTCACCTCTTTCCCAAGCCATTCTTTCAGATGTTACTGCAAAGATCTGTCTGTGAGGATACTGTACTGGTTTTATCTTTGTATGTGTTTATCTTCATTCTGCATATTTAAATTTTCTGAAGAGGTTTTAAAACCAATTACCAGCAACAATATTTATACGTATAATTCTCTCATTTCTCTTTTCCTTTGCTTGCAGGTGACACGGTAGCACAAAGTCAACATGTGTCAAAGCTGGAATAATGGGATTTACAACCAAATTTCCTGACTGCTGCACAGAGACATTTACTTGGCAAGGAAACTGTCAAGTTGGTACTGTCAACTTTTCAAGTTAGCTGGCAAGAACTAGAACTGCCTTCTTTTTAATGATGACAGCACTTTTCAAAAACAAAACAAACAAGTTTCTTATAAAGAACTGTAAGACAGGAACTATAAGTCCAACCCTTTCACGTTCAGGATGAACAATTGTAAAAAAGAAGCTAAAACATCTAGTGGAGTGTATTGTCTAGGATCTGATTTATGATGTTTAAATACTCAAACTGGGTTTGCATAACGTCTGGGAATAATTAGATGAAGAACCAGAAATAATTCAGATGAATATGGTAGGAAAGACAATTGAATTAGTGTTTAAATATTCACATCAATATATTTTTATGTAGGATTTAATAATAATTAAATGAGCTCATGAAATAAATCATTATGCTCAGTAAATTGTAGCTTATGCCAATCTTTATATTCTGTTAACAGTCTGTACAACTTTATTTCTTTCCATTTGTACAGTGTTAAAAGAGAGAGAATACTTGTTCTGCAAATAGATAGTATTTACAGCATATAAAACAGAATTATAAGTACTGTTCTGTTTCACTGCAGTCAGAAAACTGAAAGAAAATGCAACCATTGATTAGAAATTTTACCCAACTCAAGGAATATTGAGATCTCAGTTCGCACTTTGCTAGTTCCATATACATGTGGAAATTAATAAGCTAAATCACTCATTTAAAGTCCACAGGTGATCAATAAATTTTAAATTAATAAAAAAATAAAATGTATACATTGCTGGCATTTTCAATTGATGATGGTCATGAGCAGATGCATAGAAATCAAATAAAATGAAAAAGAAATTATTTTGTTCACATTTGAATGTGAATGAACTGTACGTACCGGAAAGGAAGATTACATTTCCTTGTCCATCCTCCAACATCACCAAAACAGGAAAGCCACTTGCGGTACACTAATGAACTATATTGTGCAAATGTACAATATGCAAAAATTCAATCTATCAAAGAATATTTTTGCAAAAGCTCTGCATTAGTCAACACTGCAAACCAAAAATATATATGTCTGAAGACTTTATATATTGTGATACAAACCTGAAAAAAAATATATCAAGTTTAACAAGCTGAACTTCATAGATTTGTCCATCCATGCTGTATATTCTACATGCAAAATTAAAAACTTTACTCATCATAACATCTATAAACTCACATAGAATAGCAGTGTATAGCAACATATCTAACCCTCTGCCTTTCATATATAATATTATGATCTTTTAATTGGATGTCCATATCTGTATGCTAAAAGATACAAGAAAATCTTTATAGAGTGGGGATTGCCCACGTTTGCTTTAGTTGCCTGTTTTGGTGCTTAACTACATTTAATATGATTTCGGATCTTGAGCTGAGTCAGGGCAATGGTGCAAATGAAGCAAACTGGAAAATGGTGATGTAAGAACTGAGAACATCTTGGGACTTTGGATTAAATTTCCAATATTTTACCTAGAATTATACAATAGGTGGGAGGAATCTCTCTTTTGCTTGGTTTTGCTTGCTGTATACCACTTATTTAAAAATATATTTATGTCCTATAAACAATGTTCTACTGTAGGTAGAAGAAATACATCCTCTTTCAGTTAGTTGCTATTTATAATAATTAAATACACAGTTCTTTAGGAGGCTATATTTTCTAGCTCGTATGATTTATAACGTGTAACTGTTTCTTATTACTTTAATTGTATTTCATTCTGGGTCTCATCTTCCCCCAAGGGTTCCCTTTGTTTTGTTCCAGCTTATGCAAAAGAAAGTTCACTTTTAGTCTTGTGCTGGATGTATCACTTTGCTTTAAAATACATTAAAATACGTTTAAATGCAGCCATCCCTGTATCTTTCCCTACAGATTTACCATAACTGATCTGGTAATTGCTGTGTTTTATGTATTTTTTTCTGTGTTAACATACAACTAATTTTTATAGATTCAGAAATGCCAAAAACATGAAGTTAATGTTGCACTAATCGATTCACTTGGGTTTGGGGATTTTCTTCTAACTGCAAAAATGTTTAGAATAACAAGCATTGTTGGCTTTTATTTTGTGAGGAACATCTTGAGATACTCATACATCATTCCAAAATCTTCACAGAACTCCTTTTTTAAAAATCAGGATAACAACTCTCCATTTTTGCTTCAGAGTTTTAATTTTAATAATTGGTTGTTGTTGTTAATTGCGAAGTCGTGTCTGACACATCGCAACCCCATGGACAATGTTTCCCCAGGCCTTCCTGTCCTCTACCATTTTCTGGAGTCGATTTAAGCTCATGCCTACTGCTTCAGTGACTCCATCCAGCCACCTCATTCTCTGTCGTTCCCTTCTTCTGTTGCCCTCAATCTTTCCCAGCATTAGGCCCTTCTCCAGTGAGTCCTTCCTTCTTATTAGGTGGTCAAAGTATTTGAGTTTCAGCTTCAGGATCTGGCCTTCTAAAAAGCAGTCGGGGTTGATCTCTTTTAGGACTGGCAGTTAATGGGGCAGATGTCCCCCCCCCAAACACACACTAAATATTTGAAAAATTACTTGATTCTGTCATTGGAGAGAAATAATGGATGATGAAAAACAGCTTTTCCCATTATTGGGATTTAATAATAATGACCATGTAGTGGGAGAGGAGTTCTGCTTACTGCAAAATGGCAAACATAGTTAGCAGAGCCTTACCAGCAGATTGAGGTTGCCGTACCTTTCATGTGTTCATCCTTTGGGCCCTCTGTAATATTAAAATATCTTTATCTTTTCTCTGGGCAGATGAACATATTCCTAATAAAGAAGGAAGATGCAACAGCATATGGGGGGGGGTTCATTTGTTAGGAATGCTTGTGGGAACTTCTAGGGCATGTCTGGAAATAAAGATGGAACCAGGGTACTGCTGATGGCCCTTTTGCTTTGCTAGCTTTCAATGGATGGTTGGATGGATAGATAGGTTTTGATTTGATCAGATTGGACATGTACTTCCTGGCTCGATTTGAATGTGAGATGTGGCCTGCCGGGAGGGGGGGATGATGGGAGGGAGACCTGCGGGGTGGGTGGGGAGTTTTCGGGGGTGGAGGTGGGCCGGGACATCCCGGTTATCATAGGGAGAGGTAGATATGGCGGGAGCCAAGGGGTGGGCCATCTTCGGGGAACAAGGACTCGCTGCATTAGAGCGATTACCTGTTCTGACTCCTTGGATTCTTCTCCAATACCTGGAGAGGGGGGTGTTCAGGACCCTGGCCTCAGGTTGCTGCTTCTTAATGCCAGGTTGGTTATTAATAAAGCCCCCCTCATCTGGGATTTGATACTGGATGAGGAGGCTGACCTGGCATGTATTACTGAGACCTGGCTGGGCCAAGAGGGAGGTGTTCCTCTCTCAGAGATGTGCGCAGATGGGTTTCAGATAATGCACCAACCGCGACTCCAGGGAAGGGGTGGGGGAGTGGCGATTCTTGTCCGAGAATCCCTGAGACCTCGCAGGATCCCAGCCCCAGAGGTTGTTGGGTGTGAGTCCCTTCTCTTGAGGTTGGATTCAAGGGTTCAGTCGGGCTTGTTGTTGACATATCTGCCTCCCAGCTGTGTGACAACAGCCCTGCCTGAGCTGCTGGAGGGGGTAGCCGGGTTGGCGGTGGAATTCCCCAGGCTTATGGTGCTGAGGGATTTCAATTTGCCGTCACTCAGCGAATCCTCTGGTGTGGCTCAGGAGTTCATGGCTGACCATGACAACCATGGACCTGACCCAGATAATTCAGGGTCCGACCCATAGGGGAGGACACACGCTCGACTTGGTATTCTTCTCGGGGCAGTGGAGACGTGATTTCGATTTAAGGGGTATAGTCACTTCTCCCTTGTCATGGTCGGATCACTTCCTGTTGAGGTTAGATTTCTCGGTCCTACTCCCCCACCGCAGGGAGGCAGAACCGATTAGGTGGTTCCGCCCCAGGCGTTTAATGGACCCGGAGGGGTTCCAAATAGCGCTTGGGGGTTTTCCTGATTCCCTCCTCCACGAACCGGCTGAGTCCTTGGTCGCTGCTTGGAATAAGGCGGCATCAGGGGCGTTAGATTGGATCGCGCCTTTGCGACCTCTCCGTGATTGTGGATTCCGGAGGGCACCTTGGTTTACCGAGGAGCTATGAGAGATGAAGCATCAGAAGAGACGTCTAGAGCGACGCTGGAGGGCTAGTAACTCCGAATCCGACCGGACACTTCTAAGAGCCTATATTAGGACTTATTTACTGGCGATACGAGCGGCAAAATGTTCGCATTTTTCCGCACTTATTGCGTCTGCAGAATCTCGCCCCGCCGCCCTGTTTAGGGTGACCTGTTCCTTACTTAATGTTCGGGAAGCTGGGGAGCCCTTACAGGGTAGAGCGGAAGAATTTGTGCAATTCTTATCAGACAAAATTGCTCGGATTCGAACAGATCTAGACTCCGATTGGGCAGGGCCTTTGAGATGACTGGGGCAGGTCTTAGCTCAGTTTTATGGGATGAATTTGAGTCTGTGACCGCTGAGGATGTTGACAGAGCGGTGGGAGCAATGAGCGCCTCCACTTGTTTATTGGACCCGTGTTCTTTCTGGTTGGTCTCAGCTGCCAAGGAGGTGACACGAAGCTGGCTCCAGGTGTTGATCAACACTTCGTTGAAGGAGGGGTCTTTTCCACAACCCCTGAAGGAGGCGGTTGTGAGGCCCCTGCTCAAGAAGCCTACCCTGGACCCGGCTGATTTAAATAACTTCCGTCCAGTCTCCAATCTCCCCTTTGTGGGGAAGGTTGTAGAAAGAGTGGTGGCGCTCCAGCTCCGACGGTCTCTTGATGAAGTGGATTATCTAGACCCTTTTCAATCTGGCTTCAGGCCTGGCTTCAGCACAGAAACCGCTTTGGTCGCACTGATGGATGATCTCTGGCGGGCCCGAGACAGAGGTTATTCCTCTGTCTTGGTGCTACTTGACCTCTCAGCGGCTTTCGATACCATCGATCATGGTATCCTTTTGCGACGACTCGAAGGGGTGGGAGTGGGAGGCACCGTTTTACGGTGGTTCTCCTCCTACCTCTCTGGCCGGTCGCAATCGGTATTGGTGTGAGGGCAGAGGTCAACCCCGAGGCCCCTTGAATGCGGCATGCCACAGGGGTCGGTCCTCTCTCCCCTCCTATTTAACATTTATATGAAGCCGCTGGGTGAGATCATCAGACAGCACGGGGTGAGGTTTCATCAATATGCTGATGATACCCAGTTATATATCTCCTCCCCAAGCTCTCTCAGTGAAGCGGCCGATGTGATGGGCCGTTGCCTCGAAGCCGTGAGGGTCTGGATGGGGGTTAACAGACTCAGGCTCAATCCTGACAAGATCGAGTGGCTTTGGATGTTGCCTCCCAAGGATCATGTTGACTGTCCAGTGTTGACTCTTGCGGGGGAAAATATACCCCCTTCGGAGCGGGTTCGCAACTTGGGTGTCCTCCTTGATCCACAGCTGAATTTGGAACATCAATTGACGGCTGTGGCTGGGAGGACCTTTGCACAAGTTCGCCTGTTGCACCAGTTGCGACCCTACCTGGACCGGGAGGCTCTCCTTACAGTCACTCACGCCCTTGTCACCTCACATTTGGACTACTGCAACGCGCTCTACATGGGGCTACCCTTGAAAAGTATTCGGAGACTACAGTTGGTCCAGAATGCAGCCGTGCGAGTGATGGTGCTCCTCGATACACCCACGTTACACCTATCCTCCGTGAGCTGCACTGGTTGCCTATTGGTCTCCGGGTCCAATTCAAGGTGTTGGTCATTATCTTTAAAGCCCTATATGGCTCAGGGCCAGGCTATCTGCGAGACCGCCTACTATCTCATAGTTCCCTACGTCCGGTTAGATCCCACAGGCTGGGCCTCCTTCAGGCCCCATCGGCCAAGCAGTGCCATTTGGCGGGGCCACGGAGGAGGGCCTTCTCTGTGATGGCGCCCACGCTTTGGAATCAGCTCCCCCCGGAGATTAGGACCGCTCCCACCCTGTTGGTCTTCCATAAGCTACTTAAGACCTGGTTTTTCCGGCAGGCCTGGGGTTTATAAAACCTTACCCCTGGATGATTGTTTTTGTATTGTTGTTTTGTTATGTTTTATGTGTTTTTTTATTGTTAGCCGCCCAGAGTCCTTTGGGAGTGGGGCGGCTTATAAATTTTAAAAATAAAATAAAAATAAAATAAATAAAATATAGTCTGACAGTTACAAAGGGAATCCGCAAACACTTTGCCATTTATGGATAAACAATTTTACCTTTATACACTTTTAATTTTCAATTTTCTGTAATCATTTTTAAATATATATTTTAGAGATTTTTACACAAAAGGATAAACATGACAAAAGTACAGAAAATGAGATTAAGAAAGAAAAGATAGAGGGAAAATGGCACAAAAATATATTTAAAGACGTGACGTCTGATTTTCTTTAAAGGAGATACGAACTTAATAGCACTCCATCCCATTTAAAATTACATTACATAGTTGCTTCTTCACCTCTTTCAGTCATCAGATCCACAAATAATCAACTCATTTCTGTCCATTTTCAGCAAAATGTCCATATAAATGTCCATTTTCCAATAAAAGTACTTATTATCTTATTCCTGATCAGTCCATTTTATATCCTTTGTATAGTGGAAAAGTAATTTTGGAGTTAGAACACGTAGCCATAAAATCTAAATTAATCTTAAATTGACTAATTAGACTTAATCCTCCCCCCCCTTTCTGTTCTGGCTTCCTTCTTTGTCATCTGATTTTAATGTTTTTATTTGTTAATGGTTTTATCAGCTGAGTTTTAGGATTGATGATTTTAATGTTTTTAATGCTTTAATGTTTTTATATTGTAAGCTGC